GTAAAGCGAAAAACTCGAAAGAATGAATTATATCCTGTAACAGTTAATTATGACGAGAACCAGTTTTTCCCTTCTAATAGTTTTTTCCAAAATTTATCTGAGTAGTGCAATTTTTCAAAAAATCCCCCCTCCCCGCGCGGGAGGGCACGAAGAAGATTCTGCACCTCTGACTTTGAGTGTACCTGAAAGAATTTAATTCTAACAGTGTAACAACACCAAATTCCATTTTTTTCGGCTAAAATTCAACATTTGGTTCTTTGAAAACTCATATTCGTGCTCACTGCAGAAATTCTGGATCGAATGAGACAAGTCTAATTGAATTTTGAGATCATAGAAATTTTATTCTTTATTAGAGGTAGAGTAATGGAGAAAACCTTTTCACAAAAACAAATTTTGAAAACCCCTTCTCAGAAAAATCAAATGAGCTGTTTTGATCAGCATTCGACGTTTATTCTAACCATTTCTTTTCAAAACTGTTGAAAATGAAAAAACTCGCTGATTCTTTATTTTTCTGCTTAAGTTTCTGATAACTAGCAAATTATCAAAAAAGAAAGTTTGTCAGAAAGACAAAGGCACTGATTTTTGCACGGCTACAGTTTTGTTCTGAACAAGAGTTTCTTTTCAAATGCATTAAGCCTTTCACCATAAATATATCAGAGTACACAATAACTATGAAAATATAACTTCGAAAAACTGTGCACAAGTTGACACGTAAAATTGGTTGTACACATGACAAATGATATTGTTTTTTTAACGTTTCTAAACGATTGTAACACCGAAAAATGTTTAATCGTGAGGTTTTCACCCACAGTTGGTCAAAATATAATGTATTCTTATTATGCACAACTTCTAATAGCCTTAGAGTGCTGCACTACATGGTGAGCTACATTGGATCAAAAGAGCAACCAAGACCTTTTTCCAAATCAGTATCAAAAAAACTGACAACGAGCTCGCCATTATAGATCATCTGTTAACTATAAAGAGTATCATGTCGACTTTCAGCTGTATAATAAACAATTTCTTGTTATACTTATAATGATGAAGAAAAGTTACAACACTGAAGCACTTCGAAGTGAGCATAGTCTTCACACAAAGCGCTTTTCTCGTTTCATTAATGCCCTGCATGACCTTTTATATAAAGTCATTTATAGAAACCTCAAGGTGCTCATTCTATGAAACCATGCGTAATGAAGGTTCTATTGCGTTCAAAACGAGCTATCACACGTATGAACCATTGAACATTGAGCGTGAGTTTCGACTACGATTCGGAATTCAAGGTATGCAATGCTCTCCTTTTTTTATTGGCTTCGTAATTATCAAAAAGAACAAAAGTAGTTTGCTTTGATCCTTTTAGATTATGGTGTTTTGCGTGATTTCGGTTTGGTAAAAAAGAATTCGAACTACTCATAACGCAAAAGTTGGCAGGAAAATTTCGAATTTACTGTTCATGTTAACTTTTTGGTGGGTCAAACAAAACTATTTTGGATAGTTCTTTTTTTCCACTCTTTCTGTAATCATAACCATACTCTTATTTCTTCTCTTCTGTATGCATGTCTAATAAGCTTTGCTTGTTCCTGTTTGGTACAATCTACAGGTTCACTTTCTGCAATGTTGTTTTATTGTTCGTCTGTTTTGTTCTTCTTTGTTTAGTATACGATTCGATCGATATATCTCATAGGCACGAATACTCATGAGAGCAACAATAAACACATAATCGGATATTTATTCAGAGTAGAATATTGATTACGTGCCAAAATGAAAAGTAGTCCAGTTCAAAATAGCCAACTTTCGAGAATAGATCGTTTTCTCATTCATATTGTCTCTCAATATCCGGTGAAAAATTTTAAGAATTAAAATAGATTAAAATCTATAAATCCTATGGATATAACCGTCTACAATCATTCATGATCATGAATGAACACTGCTCATTGACGAGCACTATTGTTCGATCAATTAGCCACATTGGATGCGGGTGTCAACAAACAATTGCCATTATTAATTAACGAATACTGACCTGTCACTGATACAGTGATCATTATACCGATCAGTACATCGTCATAGAACTGTGCACGGGTCAACGATTATCACTTGTTCTGTTGTAAGAAATTCGGTGGCCTTTCATCATGTTTCATGCTAAAACATTACTTCACCGTGATTTTCATAGAGAAACATTCGTTCTTTGAACTGATACATTCATGTATCTCGCGAAGATTTACTCACGATAGGTTTGTCACTAACAAGATTTTGTCTCAAGCACCTTGTGAGCAAAATAGTGTGCATAAAATATATAATTAGGCAAAATTTATGACTGTACTCTCTCTATTAACATTATTCAATGCAAACAACCTGAGTAATCACTTGCGCATCTGCTGTTAGAACTGATTTTGATTTGTACACTTTCGAATCGAACCAAGTACCCACACAGACATTTTCTGAACAGATGTTTAATCAAGCTTCAATATTGAGGTTTCGATGTAAACAAACTGCGTGCGTTTGAGGCCAGTTCAAGTCTCGACACAAGTAATATACGACTTCTGGTCTCCCTTCCAATCAACAAGGCAACCAGATTTTCGAATCTTTCTGCGATATTTCAATCAACCAGAAATAGAAGTTCAATTCACACATACTCAGATCAATTCAATAATAGACTCGATAATTTCCACTTAACCATGTCTGTCTCATAGGTTAGGTGTCCAACATGTTATAGTTCGTTCAAGAAATCGATGGAATCATCTACTAGCATTCATTGGAGATAGACAACAAGCATTTTTTGTTAACTCATTTTATATATATGGTAAGATGAATTTATTCAACTGCAATTTTCTCTGAACTGTTAAAAGAGAATTTGTTTTGACAGCTCAAAAACATGGGTGATTTCTCATTAGTCATGGTATAATAGCGATTTCTAGACACTAGTATCACACGATGGTCTCGAATAGAAAGAAGATTAAAAGATGCTCGAAAATTTCTTCAAAGTCTGTGTTTGGGAGATTTTTTATTGTTATTCATTGATATTACTGAAGTTATTTATGCTCAGCATACATTTTTTTTGTTTTTTTAGAAAAATATTTATCATTTACTGATTGAAACTATGACAGAAATCAGCTTGAATTCCTAACCAAGACATAATCATATAAAATTGTTGGTTTTTGGACTCTTCGAAAATATTTTGAAGCAATATTTTGCCGTTTTATCTCGCAGATCAGTGGATTTTAAAAAGCTTTTCGATTAATTAAATCTGTTAAAAAAATGTTGTTTTTGTCAATGTTTTCTAAACTGGAATAGTTCATATTTAGTATAGATGCTCGAGAAAAGTTTGTTAATTATAGGTACCGATGTTCAAGTCTTCTCTTCTACACTTAAGCAATAGGTATTGAGGATTTCGAAATGAGATACCTAGTAGACAACATTTTTTAGATTTTCTCAAATTTCGATTCCGTTGAAAACCCGCAGCAAGGATCTTTCGATGACCATCGATGTTTCAGATCAAATGTTCGGAGTGCCACTTTCTGATGCATCGAAGGTTCAACGAGAAGTAGAATATTTTCATTTCTATAGATCTATCGGAGATTCAGATCGATGTCTCGAAATATCCCACGACTGACACCTTGTGGTGTGAAAGCAAAACAAACAGTTCATTTTAGACTCTTTTTCTTTCAACTAAATTTCTTTTCTCAAGCTGAAAAATTTTGTTTTTGAATGAACATTGCTTCGTGAATAGACTGCTAGTTCATATTATTTTGATCACCGTGGGAATTACATTAGATTTTTATTCATCAAAAATCTGCCAAACGTAAAATTATACTTTATTGAAGGTTTACAGATGAAAAGCAACACATGTCATACCGTGCAGTTGCATGCATAAACAATTGCATATATTAGGACGTTGACAGCAAAGTGAATAGAAAATGTCCTTCACTTTATTATCTGCATGAGCTCACGCGATTCTCTTTTTCTTTCATCTCAATAATAATGACAAGCTTTCACATAATATCCATGTTTATATTGTATCTCATCTGTAAAACACTGCCGTATTCAAACAGCATTTTTGTAACCCTGCAGTGATCACGCTAATCATAAGTAATAGAAAACTACTATTTTTACAAAATTCATTTTTCTTTTATAGGTCGTAGTGTTGACCGTATGACTTTTGATTGGTAAGATCTTTAATTCACGTTTTATTAGAGATAGGATGATATGAGTCAGATGTGTCAATCATACACATACACTGCAATACCATTTAGGTAAAAATCTGAATTTTTTATTTCGCATAAATTATATGATTCAGTACCAGAAAATAAACCTTTATTTTGGTATATATACTTCTAGTCAGAAATTACGAATTTAAACGTCTCGATATTTTCTATTTTATTTGAATTTCTAGCTAAAAGTAGTACCTCATCAAATGAATAATTATGGCAGATATTGCAATCTCACTTGTTGGACGTTTTTGGATTTACTTAATATCGAATGTTGCATCAATTATTTGCTCCATATTTATACTTTGCTATCTTCTCTTTGATCGAACGCTTCGTCGTGGATTACATAATCATGTAGTTATTGTTCTTATTATCATAAATCTTGTCAGTGAGCTAACAGACATTCCTTGGATTCTCTATCAGTATCGAAATGGTGTTGTTTGGATATTTACACCCTTCTTTTGCCATACTTGGAAATTTATTGATAGTTCAACATATGTGACCACGGCAAGGCTCGTTGCATGGGCATCAATCGAACGACATATTCTCATTTTTCATGATACTTGGATGGCTACAAAAAGAAAAAAAATTCTCCTACATTACATACCAATCATTGTCATCATTGCCTATGGAATTATTCTATACATGATTATTAGTTATTTCCTTTCTTGCGATCGGTCATACGATCCTAGGATAGCATACTGTGGATTCTATAGTTGTGCATATGATAGTGCAGCATATTCTATGTTTGAGTTCGTTACCAGTGGAATAACGAATTCTATAATCATTGCTAGTTTTAGCATGGGTCTTATTATCCGTATTGTAAAACAAAAACATCGTCTTAATCAACACATCAATTGGCGTAAACATCGCAAAATGGCCATTCAACTCATATCAATCACATTATTATTTTATGTTCTCTATTTGCCGAATATTATTACAGCAATTCTGTTTGGCTGTGGTGTTCCATGGAGCTACCTAGAAAATTTCATGGCTTACGCACAATTTTTCTCTTATTATATCAATTTTCTACTCCCATTCGTCTGCACTGGAACTTTACCTCATCTTCGAAACAAAATTACAAATACATTACGATTATGGCCATGGCATGCTCGTGTTGCTGTTGAACCAAGTCACAATACCGTAATGTTCAAAGCACCTGGCCAATCGGTTGCTCTCGCAAGAGCTGCTCATTGATCAAGACACAATTTTCAATCAGCAAATATATGACAGAAAAAAAGGCTCCTATTCATATTTTATTGATGTTACTTGCTTGTAAAATAGTAGAACTTAACCATATAGTCTTGAGTTCAATATCATGTTGACCGAACTAATGATATTTCAAAAACTCTTATTATTTTTAGAAATAACAATTTTGGTTGATGAACAATTGTCTTCATTTGTTTCCTGTGTTTACATTTTAAATTTACATTAACAAGTTTCTGAATTTAAAATAAATTAACCGGAAAATGTCACCCGTATTCACCATTGACATACATAATGTGATTTCACTACACTTTGTATTTCTGTGACTTTGCAAGAGGCTTTATAATATGTTGAATATTCAATGGTATTGTACATAAAATCCATCGATAGTTTACAGTGTACTTTGAAAGTTGACTAAAATCGCTCACACTATCTGTATGTTATTATGGAAAGCAAGATAAATGAGGAACAAGAGAAGAAGTAATTTCTACAGTTGGTGATAAGACTTACTAAGATGAAATTAATGGCTGATCAACATTGTTATCTTCAACTTCAAAAGGAATTTCAGCATTTTGAGCTTATAAATAGAGTGAAAGAAAACATCCATACGGTTATTGCTTGATAATCCATTGTATATTCGATTCAGAAAAATTTTGAAAGTTTTCTAAGATAGATCGATGTTTAACACTGTTCCTGAAGACTCGAATCTAAAAAACTATTTGATAAAAACTTGTACGTCTATGACAATATAGCAATGATTCAATACTCTGTTTTTGTATGTGGGCATTCGTCTATTGATAGAAGACTGTTCAGAGTTTATGTTTATAAGATAATTAATATAAAGAACTGTTTTGAATCGTTACAAAAAAAAATCATAATCTTTCACCAGTTATGGGAAAATAATACAGCAGTTTTTTCGACAGATTTTTGGATGAAACTTTTAGAGTACACTGAATAATAAGACATATATCTGTAATATAAATACGAGAGTCGATAACAATGTTGTATGGAATCAATCAAAGAAAAAAAATGAGGTCTTGATTATTCTTTGCTAAGGGAATAAATGGATCCTTTTTCTTCATAATTCCTGAAAAATTACACTTCCTGATTACACCCGTTTACGATATTTCAAAACAGCTTTTAACAGTGTTATTCTTATGAATATGACATAATTATGAAATCTCATTTATCAGTAGTAAAAATATCTACCTATTTGGTTAAATATATGACGAAGATACTCAATTTATTGTTTGCTCAATGATTCATTAGACATTCTATATAGAATCGATAGTTAAATGTTCATCTATTGAGCTAGTATTGGTAAAAATATAAGTCAAAAACAAGATATATGTGATGCAGATATGAATGAAATAATTTTTTTCTTCAAAAAATATATATATATATATAGAATATCTTTATTTATATATATGTTATTACATAACAACAAGAAGAAAATTTCATTCAAGTAATATTATTTTGTAAATAATTTTGAAATGAAAATTGCTGTAGAAATAAATCTTTTTCTGTCATAAATTTAACTGCTATTGTTTCCAAATGATTAATAAAATTCGAATTATGTGCCATTTCAAGATTATGTGCAAGTTCATGACATGTCAATATAAAATAAAAATTAACAATAGTATGTATTATTGGTATTGATGGTGATGTTGCTTGTAAATATGATTGAACTTTATCAGCAAAAACTTGTTCATAATAACGAAGATTAAAAAATAATGCACGACGATCATTAAATGCTATACGAGCTAAATATATAACAATAACAAAAATTTTATTATTAAAAATATATATATTTTTAATTTTTACCTCCATCAATATCTCTATAAAGATGTAATGTTTCAATAGGTATTTTAAAAACATGATTAGCAAGTCCTATTAAAACCCATGTTAATTGTTTAGCTTGATCAAGCATTTTATTTGTAATAAGAACATTTCGTTCGATATATAATGGTATTGAATGAAATAAATCTTTATAACGTGTCATATTAGCTGATGGTACAGCTTCACATGAATGATCAATTTCATCTTTAACATGTTCTTGTTGAATAAATTTTGTTTGTGTATATGCTCGACCTTTTTTTAATATTGAAAATAATTTAGTATCATCTTTTGTTTGTTGACGATTAAAATCTTCTACACGACCATTTATTTCAATATGACTTTCATGATAATGATGATTATCATTATGATTTAAATCAGATCTTTGTTCAATCATTTGAATAGTTGAACGAATATTTTGTTGATTATGTTGAAGTAAACGATCAACAGGTACACCACGACGTTTAAGTGTTTCTAATGGTGATGCAAGTTTATCACTTATTGTATGAACAACTGTATCAAGTGGTTTTTTAAATACAAATCGAGCTAATTCACTAGCTATATCAATATAATCAAATTCACGTATATGTTTTTGAAAATATAATGCCACTTTATTTTTATCATATTCAAGTGCACATGAACTACTATCTGTTGACTAAAATCAAAAAAAGATTATATATGAGAAAAATGAATAATAATAATGAATAGTTTACATCAAGTGTAATTGTTTTTTTTTCAAATGTTAATTGACATTGAATACCATCAACTTCATAAACAGATAAATTTGTTCGTAACATATCAACATGTTTTTCATCGAGATTTTCCATTTTTTCACCCTAGAAAACAAAAATAATAAGAAATTTTAGAATTTTTAAAACTCTTTTATTTATAGAATATTTTACTCGATTATTAACAAATAACATATCAAGACGATATTGAATTAAATCACATAATTTATTACCTCGATCTGATGTAGCAATTTTTCCTAGGAAATAATAGAATTTTATTTTCGTAATTTATTTGAAATCAATATTAATAAATTTTCTTTACCTTTATGTACTAAAGTTCTTTTAACACATTCTGATAACCATGAAGCACCAAATTTTTCATATAATTTTGTTAATTCAGGTTCATCCGGTGGTAATAATGGTCGAAGATCAATAGCACATTGATGATCATCATCAAGATAAATTTCATTTGGTGGTACAATTTTAAACATACGTTGTTTATCATTATTTGAACGTCTTTCAATAACTTGATAACCTAAACACCAAGCTGCATTTTTTAATCGTTTTACTAATGATGCTGATTGTAATTCATTTGTTGTATTAGCTGCAATAGCAAGTTGTCGAAGACAACTTGTATAAGCAAGTAATTTTTGTTGTAAATCATCCGGATTATTTTGATTTAAATTTGTAAAATAATTTTCTTGTCGATCAATTAATAATTCAGCTAAAACACTTGCAGATGGATGATGAAGTACACCAATACCAAGAAGAAAAGAATTTCCTTCTAAACCATAATCAACATAATCAATTAAACCAGTTTTATCTGTATCATCCATAATTAAAGGAGTTGATGATATTGTTTTTGTTTTTTTATTTTTTGATGTTGTTGTTTTAATATTATTTCGTTTACGACGACGACCACTACCACTGGCACGCATTATTTCATCATCATCATCATCGTCAGATGATATTGGAAGAATAACATGTATTTGTCGTAATCGAGATGATGATGATAATGCTGTTGAATTATCAGGACGAATAAAAACTTGTGATGGTTTCATAAAATTTTCATTTCCTTCAAGAGGAATAAAAGCAAGTTTTGATACACGTTCGATTAATGGTCGACTTAGACCATCGAGTTCATTCATATAGGCAAAAATTTTTGGAGCAGTTTCTACATTGAGTATTTCTTCTTTTTTTTCCATTAGAATATCAAATGCTATTGTTAATGTTGGACGATCTTTAACACCAAGTAATGCTACATTAAAATGTTCTTCAAATAATTGAACAACATCAGATAAGAGTGTTGCACATAATGGACTTTCATCTAATAAGAAAAATCGAAAATAAAAAACTCTTTTAAAGATAATTAAAACCTTTAAAAACTTCTTCGGGTAATGATAATATAATAGTTTTTGATGGTGAAAGAGATGGAAGAAATGGTCGTTTAATTTTTGCTGTTTTCCATAATTTTGAATAATGTTGTTGAAAATTTTCAGCGAAAAATTTAAGTGCTATTGGTAATTTATATTCATTGATGAATTTTTTCTTTTGTTCATTATGTTCTTCAATGATTCGATCAATTAATTTTTGTATATCAGGTACTTCACGTACGCCGATTTCTTTTAGAAATGCATATTCACGTGAATGTGAATCAATATCATGCCAATCAAGGATTGTTAATGTTGACCATTGAAGTTGAATAGCAACAGACGGAAAATGAAGATCTTGTGGAGCATATTTTCGTGTACATTCTTTACTTGGTATAAGAGTTGTACCTTAAAAATAAATAAAAGATTTATATTTATATAATAGATAATTGTTTAAATTTACCTCTAAGACATTCACTTTGTTTTAATGCATTAAAATCTCCTTCACTCATATTATCTCTTTCTTCCATTAAATGTTGAATTAAAATTTTCATAGTATGAGAATTTGACGAAGTTGAATTTGTTAATGATGATCGTGCATGTACAAATGATTGTACATTTAATGTTCGACAACCTAATCGTTTAAGAAATTCGGCTGATACAGGATATTCCATATTTTCAATTATTGATTGTTTATCATCATCATTATCATCATCATCATCATCATCAGTTAAATTTTGTGGTACATTTAATATTATAATTGGTAAATCTGATGATAAAATTGATGATGGAATATATGATTCATTAGGAATTTTCATTCCTTGATTTGTTGGTATACATGTTATTGTTGATAATGTTGTTTTTAATTTATTCCATTCAGTTTTATTTAATTGTCCTGAATGTTTTGAAATAATATGTAATAAACATGTTGATGTATTTTCTTTTGTAAATAAATATAATTGATTTTTAAGTAAATAATAATGAAGAAAATCTTTTAATGTTAATGGTATTAATGATAATTGTTTTTGTAATTCTTCTCGTGATAAATAAGCAGCTACACTTGCTGGTAAAACATGTGATGGTAATGGAAGTATTATTGAAATATTAAAATTATCATAATTTTTTAATTTTTCTAATGTTATTATTGATGAATTATTTGTTTCACGAAAACGTACAATTGATAATAAACGTTTTATATATTGTTTATCATCATTATTTTGACTTGATAACCAATGAAGAAATTCAACAAATTGATTTGATAAAAGTATTGTTGTTGTTATTGTTGATTCAATTAATTCATTATCAACTTCAATAATTAAATCACGATCTTTTAATGCTTGAAATAAACCATTTTTACTTAATTCATATGGTACAAGTGGTAATGAAAGAAAAGAATGTATATGTTTAGAATTTGCTATATATGCTTGTGTTGATGGAATAAGTGAAAGATTAATATCTGTTGGAGATCGTTTAACAGGAACAAGTACATCTTTATTCGTGGAAAAAAATCCATCGACAAGAATCGAACCTTTAAAAAAAAAAAAGAATTTTACCATTATCTTCTAGAAAATTGACAATTATCAAAAAGTAGAATTTTGATTGTAATGAAAGCATCTTTATTTTCGGCGAGTTAAAATGATGTTCAACGATCGAGTAAACCCCTCCCCGTAATAGAAGCCTCTCCCATATTAGAAGTCCCCTTTAAAGGATCCATCCAGCAAAATTTTCAATTTTTCCCAGCAAAATCCGGCCAAAGTTTGCAAGGCCTAATAGAAGCCCCGGGGAGCTTCTAATATGGGAGGGGGTTTAGTCTTCGCAATGTATCAAAATATCACAATGCATATGAAATAGAACAAGTTCTTCACTTTATATTTTCGAACACAAAATCTATTTTTTCTTATACAACTCATGCATCATTAGATCATCCTATTTCGAAAAATATTCAATTACGATCGAAAGAACAAACTGTATGATATGAGAGTTCGCATAAAATTAATTTTTTACCAATTTCATTATTTGGTACTGATGGTTGGAATGAATAAGAAGCAAGTATAGGATCGAATTGTTTATTAGTAACCATTAATTGATCAAAAACAAATCTTGCTATTTGTCCAACAGATAAAAGAAGTTCTATATTCCATTTTGATATGTATGGATCTTGTAAATCAAGATTTTCACGTTCAATTGTTGGAATTAAATGACTATAAACATGCATTCCTATTCCAGTTGTTTGATGTGTTCCAAGACCAATAAAAATTAAACCTGATGGATAATTTTCATCATTTTGAAATTTTAATGGTATTAATGAATTAAGAATTTTCATATGAAGATCATCATTTTTTGATGATTTTCTTTGTTGTTGTGTCATTACAATCTAAGAAAGAAAAACAAAACAAAATTAAATTAAAAAAAAAAAATCTTTAAATTTTTATTTTACATTATTAGGTGTATATAAAAGTTGAATTTGTACATTTGGTGGTAAACTTTTTTTTAATATACGTCGAATATGATTATGATAATTTTCATCAATAATTAATGTTGCATCAACAGATATATGATTTAATGTTATAGATGGACCATGATCAATAGAAAAGATTTGTTCTGTTTGATTTAATGAATCAAGACGTAACATATTATGAATAGAATTTTTTTTAAATTGTGAATTAGATTTTGTTGATGATATTGGTTTTCTTGTTTTTGTTACTTTAAAAATTGTTTTTTGATTAATTTTTATAATAAGTTCATTAATATATTTTGTAAATGATAAAACTAAAGAAATAAAAATTAACAATTATCAGTTGTTTTTCTTTTTATTTAGCGTGAAGATTTCGGTAAATAAATGTCGAAGGTAAAAAAAAATTGTAACATATATATGCTTATGCTAGTTCTAATGTTTGAAACCACTCAAGTGTAATATGAAAACACGAATGCTCAGGGTATGCATGGGCATGGCTGTAAATATGTTAAATTCTTTAGAATCAAAATAGTCTTCATCAGTGTGAAAACGATATTCATCTAAAAATTAGGTTGGCTCTATATCAGAGTTCGTGATTCTGTATTCTCTAAATTTGAATGTTCTACCTTTAGTAAAATAAGCTTTGAGTTGTGCAAGATTAATTGTTGGAATAATTTCATTTGTTGTTGTTATCGGTATTGTACTTTTCTTTTGTCGTTTTTTATTTGGAGATTTACCACTAGGACTTTCATTAATATCTATTATTGAATCAAAATCAAGATTTGTTTCCGTATGTAAAATATATTTTGTACGCATTTTAAGAATAATTGATGTTAATTTTGATTGTTGTTCAAATGGTAATTCATGACGATAAGTTGTTAAAGAATTATCATCACGCCAAACAAATGCCATATATTCATTTCCTGATGTTATAATTGGTTCTTCGGAAAATGAAAAAACAGAAAAAAATCCAACACCAAATTGACCAACGGATTCAACATTAGTATTTCCTTCAGCTATAGCTGCAACACGTTTCCAATCTGTTTCATTAAAAACAAGACCATTATTTATAGCACGAATTTCTGTTATAGTTTTATTATGAAAATCTTTTTCTAATGATGATGATAATGAACCATCATTACAAGTTATTTCAAAATGAAATGATGTTGCTTTAGCATCATCAGAATTTTGAATTAATTCACGACAAACAACAAAATCCGATGAATAACGTGCAAGCATTTTATCAATTAGCATTCGTTGATTAACTTCAACACGACTTTCAAAACCAGATTGTAAAGCTTTTAAACGAAGAGCATCTGATGATGCCGATTCATGTAAGAGATTATTCGACATCGTGGAATCTAAAAGAAAAAAACAAAACACCATTCATCAAATTTGAAGCTTCTTTTTCTTCTCAAATGAAAAAAATGAAAGTAAATTCGAATTTGCAGGCTCCTTATATACTGAGATAATTTTGTCTTCATGTTGCAATTACTTTTTGAACAGCCTGTTGCAAAATGATTGGATAAAAACATACTTACCTTCACAAAGAAGATTTTCTTTTTTTTTGTATTCAATTTATTCTATTTTTTTATAAAAATTATTCAGTGGATAACTGACAACGAATAAAATACAAAAATATGGAGATTATAAAAGAGAAAGCAAGGAAAAAAAGAATGTTCACAAAAGAACGATAACTAGGAATTTTCTACATGCGTTCACTGTTATGTAAATGGTTACATTCATCCAAAGATTCAAAATGAACTCGATGGCGAACAGAAGATGTTGTTTGTTTTGATGAGTGAATAATACTATTTCGAGGTGTTTTTGATAATAATGCAGTTGCTGTCGAGATTGTTTCCTCAGATAAATGTTTTTCAGGTTCATCATCATCGTTATAACCGAATCTAAATGATAAACAATAAATAAAAATTCTTCATAAAATAAAATTTAAACATACTTCCAATCAGAACGTCTAATAATTCCAACGCCAATAAAACACATGCCAATAAAGATTGTAAAACAAAAAATTGATGTAAAATTGATTAGAGTTTTCTAAAATTGATTGAATGTGATGTCGGTTTATAATAAGAAAAATTCTTACGTCGTAGTTTGGTAATTCAAAATATCGATTGGTCGTTAAATAAGCACAAACTTCTGCATACATTTCATCTAAATAATAAAAAAAAATTTCTTTGACAGAAAGAAACAAACAAGTAAGATGCACATTTTACTGATTCATTCATTATTTCATTGGTGCATAATTCTACGACTCATTGACACTCAACAAATCTTTCCATTCTGTTCCATAAAAGAGAAAATTTCATTGGCTGAGTCTTGTTGTGGAGTTTATAGAATTATGCAATTATTAAAATTTGAGTTTTACAATAGAATACAAATATTCATTTATCAATGATTAGTATAATGAAAAAATCGAAACTCATTTTATATCATGTCGTCAGTCAAAAAAAGTACATTAAAAAAATATGAAACATATTCGAGACAGTCCACTAGTATAATTTCCTTTTTCTTATTTTGAAAAACTCAAATTTTATGGCGTTCGTAATTTGTGCTAACGCCTACTAAAACTTCTTAAGTATATTTGGCTTGAAAATACTTCTAAATATGAAAAACAAAAGTCTACAAATAATCAGAAATGCATAAAAATAAGACATAAGTTCACAATAAATCTATTTTATTTCGTTTTACATTTATGCTTATACCACTCATAAACTTTTTAGAATGTCTTAATATTTTCAGTCTTTTTAGTAGCTTTAGTGTGTGGATGTGGATGAATGTCGGTATTTGGGTCTTAGTCTTTGTCTGGGTGTTTCGTTGCCTATAGATTCACCCATATCAACATCCTAAAGAGACTAAAGTATCAAGATCATTGTAGTTTGAATGACATAAAAGTAAAACTGTATAGAATTAATTTTTCGTATTCAATTTCTAACACACAGTTCTCTATACTTTCTTTCATCTTCTATACGAAAATCGTTGAAAAGGATGAAAAAATTCTAAAAATTGCTACTATTGTTAGTTGATTGTTTGTTAAATATATAAGAAAGAAATTTGATTACACAGTCATCGTATTAATTAATCTTTTGTTGTTGTTCTCTTTTTCTTTTTTAACCTGAAGGTATTTTCTTTGCTGCTAGAGGCTGTTTGCAAAATGTCAACTTTATTGTCATATTAAACATGTCTGAAAACATATTCTTCGTAAAAACTTTGACGATTATAAATTCTATTTTTCCCCGATGACATATTGTCTGAAAATGTTATTTTCCGTAATTCCCAAATGAAGATTTGTGAATGAATTAAGTGTGACGTCAAGTTGCTTTTTTGTAGCAATATTTCGTGTGTTACAAGTAGAGACCTGCGGAGGACTCCGAAACCCGATTCCGATTCCGACTCCGTCGGAGTCGGAGTCAGTTACAAGTTCGACTCCGATATCTTTTTTTCGATTTACCAAAACGTAATTTTTAACATTAGTAAATAGAGAAATAAAGCGTAATATCTGTCACATAGATTTATATCACTTGTAGGACAGAAAGATGAGCGAATCACATTCCAGTTATAACACTCGAATGATCAAGTGAGATGAAAACATAACAACATTAGTCAAAAAAGATATATTAATGTCATTCAAAGTACTACGGCTATCTTCATCATTAGTTCTTCCTTGTTTAGACGAAGAACATCCAAGGCCGGTAAAATCAGTAACAGAAACGCGTTTTTAGGAGCAAAACTGTGGATTTTTTACACATNNNACAAAATTTCAGATCGAAATTCGTTGATTTTGTTTTGCAGGTGAACCAGTGCCCTAGGGCAAAAATCGAGTAAAACGGTTATAACTCAGCCCCACACGTGCATGGGCCCAAATCCTCTTAGGGTTATTCTAGTGCCGGGGTCTCCTACTTATCCCAAAAGTATGAGCTCAAAAGCGGTTAATCACTTGGGGTAGTTCCCTCGTTAGCCATGATAGAGCTATGTACAGTAGAATAAATGGTCTAGAAACTGAAGGTCTTCAAACATCTTAAAAAAAATCAATAATGTTCCGAAATACTCGAACTCGAAGTTAAAAATGCTTTCATAAGTGCTAATATACCTAGCACTGTCTGAACTGATTGGATAGTTTTCGAATATTGAGTCAGAGTTTGTGTTCGGTGCATGTCTAAATCAAGTTTGACAAGGAACAACATTAAGATAAATGAAGAAGGACACGACTAATCGATCACAAAAGTGGATAGAACAGAAGAAAAACAATCAATTTTTGGAAGATTCAAGAGATGATCAACTCAATTCATCAAGTATTTGGAACATATTTGATTAGTTAAAGACAATATATTTTCTTTATAACAGAAATTTTCATTTTTACTGAAGAAAAATAATAAATTTTGTTTTTGTAGTTACAGACTATCGGAGCAGATCGGACATTTCTATAAATCAAAATTTAATATTCAATGAACTGCTTTTACTCTTGCATTCTTAACTAATGAAATTTATTGTCCTAAGAAACTTTGTTTTCCATCAAAATGAAATCAAACATAACACTACGGCCAATCGGAGACGATCTATCGATATAACACGATGGAATGGCATTCAGAAGATAGTCGACGGGTTTTTGTCACTACCGGTGAATAGACCTTATTGGATCTGAAATTTTCTAATCGAAATTGGATAATCACTTCAAAAATACGAAACTCTTTTTTCCGCTTTTTGGTATTCAAAAACTAGAGCTAATCGGATTCGGAATCAATCCAACAGGCTCTACCGGTGAATACCACCAATTAATCACTGATGTAACGCACAGTATACAGAACCGGAACCGTAATTGTGATTTCAAATATGTTTTAGAACCACCGAACTCTACTACTACTTAATATTATTTTATATAAATAATATTAATTAATTTTTCTTACATGCAATTTTCAACAATATCACCCAATGCTTCTGTTGCAGCTGCTTTTTCTTCGATATGAGCATTTTCAAGAGTCATTCTAAAATAAATAAAAACTTTCAATAATATTAAAATATAAATTATTTCATTTACCCTTCATCTGCAAGTTCATCATCATCATCATCATCATCTTCATCATCTTTATCTTCTTCTTCTTCTTCAACTTTTACTTCATGTTGATCATGAATTGCATTTGATGTACTATCAATATCTTCTTCATCAACCCATTCTAATTTACGATTTTCAGTTGCTGCAGCATCCTACATTAAAACAAAAAACGAATTTTCTTTTTTAAACTACAAAAAACAAAATCATCATTACTTCAATCCAATCAAGTGATCGAAGAGATTGAAATATATATTCCATAATTTTACTTATATGAGCCGTACTAAATTCATTTTTCAATACTCGACTAGTTGCTCCACCAAGAGCAAATCTGAATAAGTGAAAAAAAAAAAAAAAAAGAAAGTTTGCTTCTTTTTTTCTATAATTAGTTATTTCTATTTGCTTACATAGCTGAACGAAATTCAGGTTCATCAATTTCATTGTATAAATTAAGTGAAAAATCTAATGCTTGTAACAATATTGCTTTACAATGATCAGTTCCAACAGCACGACAAAGTGAAGCAAGTGTATCTAATATATATTTTTATCGTATATTAATCGATTTTAATTATAGGAAAATTCTTACGAAGTGATGTGCAAAACACTGGTAATGTTTCTATATTTGGTTTTTGACTTAGATTAGGTGAAAGTTGAGTTATAACGGGATCAAGATATGGAGCAAATTTATCTTTCATAACGATAGCTAAATATAAGAAAAAAAAAACTCAATAAAAAATTTTAAATAAGTATTTATTAAATATTCACCAATAGCTGGATAAACTGCCAATACTAATTCCCGAACTTTTGTATTTGTTGTTGAAGCATGTACATGAAATAGAACTCGAAGTACATCAGGAATTGAACCTTTATGTTCATCGTCTAAAGTTTTAATAAAATAAAAATAAACGATCGTGTATTTCAAATAGTAATCAATGAAATGTGAACGATCAGCACAATTTCAACTTTTACCATGAACTAAATGTATTTATTTACTGGATTCATATGCATGTGGAGGGAAGACGTAAGTCTTAATTGCCATCCTATACTTCAGCACTTATTTTAGGTCGTGTTTCACAAAAGTTAAAGTTCAAAGATTTCAAGTCTCAAAAACTCTATGTGGCTCTTTCTACAATACTTTTACATTAATGCTGATAGATTCCTGAGTTTTCCGATCATAGAGATATGTTATGGGATTTATGATATATATTAGAAATTTTTATTTATATATATTTAATATATAAATCGAAAATATTTCCTTCGATTATGATTAATAATAATCAAATGATGAAAATCAAAGTATTTTTTTTTTTCTCATCTATATTCAAAACTTACTCAAAACTCCAATAAGTTCTTCAACAGCATAATAAATTCGTATAACTTTAAGATTATGATCTTGCATATTTTCTGGTTTAACCATAAGTTCCATTAGAATAGGTAAAATTTCTACTGAATATTTTGAAATTTCACCCTATGAAAAAACAAAACGATTCCATAAAAGAGAAAAACAAAAAAAATAAGGAAATTTACTTCTAATACAGCACATGTTTCACCTAATGCTAAAAGAGCTGCACTTGATACATCTGAACTTGCATCTTGTAGACCAATTTTAAGGGCTGTCATATATGGTTCAAGATAACTATAAATATTAAAAAAAAAAATAATAATCATAGAAAATATTTATTTTTTTTGTTTTACTTGTTATTAATATAATCACAACAACCATCAATTATACCCGAAAGAACATAATAAGCAGCTTTTCGTTCATTTGCAACATTACTTTTTAACATCGGTTCAACTTGTGAAATCTATAAAAATTTATTTAAAAAAAAAAAACTAAACAAATATTCTTAAATAAAACTAACCACTAATGGTACAAATTTTTCTGGAGATAAATGATAAGACATAGCTTCAAGTACATGATTAGCACCAGCAACAACAACAGGTTCATCATCATCATCATCAGTAATACTATTTGTATCAATAGATGTTGAACTAATTATTTGAAGTAATGCTTGAATAATTGGTGGAAGTATTGGTTGATGTTTTAATAATGCTTTCTTTTTTTGTCGACAAATTTCAGCTAATATACTTAAAGCATTATAACGTACTGATTCAAGAACAGTATTATCATTTCTTAAAGCAATCTATTAATTAAAAATTTAATAGAAAGACAGAAAATAAGGGTCGTATCGAATAAGATGATCATTCTTCATTTGAAAACACACTTATATCGTTTTGTAGCGCAACTCATTATGCATCGTAGCGTATATAAAACATTGTTTTTTCATGAAGTTTTAATGTGCTGAGAAATCATTTATCAATTAAGGGATATTATAAAAGTTGTGCGTAATACAACCAAATGTTATGACATAGTCTGTCATTGATATCTTCGTATTCTAAATTTTAGCCTTTGTAATTTTTAACTATTGTGATGTTTGGAATTCTTCGATACTATTCTTGAAAATAAAGACTACCAACCATGCAACTGTCATAGAAATTGTGCTCCGCCAAGGACTAATTTTTCAATTTCTAAGAATAGAAAAGTATATGAGTTTTGCGATAAATATTAATATTTTGAAAATAAAAGAAAAAACATTTTTACTTTTAGCTTTCTGAATTAAAAAGTATTTTTCCAAAAATTTATATACTTTTTTGTTCTTAAAAATTGAAAAATTAGCTCTTGGTGGTACACAATGTTTGAAAAAGTTAGACGATCGGTCACCTTTGCCCTCAAGACCAGTGCCGAAGAATTTAAAACATCATAAAAGCGAATAATTACAAATGTTAAGGTTTAGGATATAAGGAAAGCTATTTTTTAGATATAAATGATTGAAGATGAGACTAAATTCTATTGAAGTTACTTAAATTTGATATAGGCTAGTTTGAAGACATGCTGAGTTCTAATAATTGGTCATATATTACCTACAAATTACTATAATAGATGACCTCTTGAAAGATAAAATCTTGATGAAAATGAAACTTTCTATATATGATTTGATACACCATGAGCTGCTCTACAAAACGGTATAAATAGCTTTTTAAATGAAAGTTGCTCATATTATTCAATAGGATCCTTTCGTTAAATAAATAAATATTACTTGAAGACAAGTTGAAATAATACTTTGAAGATGCGTTCCAATAACATTTGGTACTTCACAATCAAGTAATGCTTCATAAAAATCCAAGAGATTTGTTGTATTTTCAGCCTAATAAAATTCGATTAAATAAACATATAAAATAACGGATGATGCAAAAGTTCTACGTTAAGCCTTTCCTTTTCTCTTTTCCTTTGTCATTCCGAATGCTGCCTTTTACGAAATATTGGGATCAGTATGGCTTCATTGTTTCTTCAAGATGCTATGTTCTATCGAGCTGAAAATTGTTCTTTGAATAAAAAAAAAAGCCAAAATATCCAATTTATCCTAAAAAGTGCATAGTTTTTTTTTTTTTGAATAGAAAATTTCTTGCAACACTCTTTTGAGATCATATTTTCGGAAGCTTATTTTCGCTAGTCATATGTCTAGAGAAAGCTAAACTTTCCCTCTAGCCTTCGTCTGGTTGTGTTATTAATTGAAACAAAATTATTGTTTTATAAATATGTTTTGAAATTTTTATGACGACTATATTTTATGTAAAAAAAACTTTCTTTAAACATATTTTTTTGTATTTTAAACTGATGAAATATTTTTCAATTACCGTAATATTAACAAAAAGATATTGTATAGCTTCGTTAGCAATTGGCACAAGATCAACAATAGTTTGTACATATTGTTTTTGATGAAATACTTTAACAAGATTTGTTAAAATAATTAAAGCTTGTTCACAAACAATTGTTGATGGTCGTGTTTTTAACATTGTTGATATAAGATTAAATGTATGTGGCCAATGTTCAAGTACAAATCGACCACAATAAGTAGATAATGTAGCAAAAAGATACATGCCTAATTCAAGTTTTTTTAAATCTGTTGATTGAACAAGTGTACCACATAAATGAAGATATTCTTTCCAACCGGTTGTTTCAATTTTATGTTGTTTTTTTGATTTTTTTTTCTTTTCAATTATTTCATGTTGTAAATCTTGTTTAGCTATTGTACCAATTAATTCAAATAAAGATTTACGTATACGTTGACTTGTTTCAATTTGTATTTGTTCAAGTAAAAGATGTTTTAATGTTTCATGTACATCTTTTGAAATTGTTGATGATGATTTTGATAATTTACGTCGAAGTAATACAGATGCTAATATACGTATTTGTTCATTTTGTTCAGAACGAAATATATGAAATAATTGAAGAAGAAAATCATTTGTTAATGAAAGACTTTGTAATTGTTTTGTTGCTTGTTTGACTTTTTCAGTATCGGGTTCAGTTAATTGATTAAGCCAATGAATAAGTAATGATGATTCCATAATATCTTTTGTTTTTATCTAGAAAATTGAAATTTTTTTAAATTTTAATATAATATAATTGTAATGATTCATAGTATTGAAGTTGAATGAATCCTATCATGAGAGGTATAATAAAATTGATAATCAGAAGTGTATAGAGCGAGCAGTTGATCTGCAAATATCGTGAATTCTACCTTCTCAATCTTGGTAGCCTCAAGACATTCCTGATAAGAAAAGAAGAGTATTTAAATTTATCTGCAATCAGATAAAGGATGTACTTGTTGTTTTATCGATCCAGGGGCTAATTATCAGGAAATTTTATTTTTCCTATGATTAAATTGATATAGATACTTTCATTTGAAAAAAGAATCTTGTTATTTGAAGTTTTTAATAATAAAAAAATTTTATTAAAAAAATCTATTGAAATCTATGTTTAAAAACGAAACTATAGGTTTATATAGAGTTAAGCTTTATTTTTATTTTTTCTGACAAGTAGTTTTAGTTGAACTTAATGAGATTACAAAAATGTTTATAAGATTTTCTTCTCATAAGTATTTCATATAGGGTTATGACCCTTTGATCGGATTTTTGGCTTATGGCAAGATGTTCATATAAAAATTTAAAAAAAAAAAAAGGAGAATTTTCATCTGAGTTTTTATTCATAAATAGATTTCACAATTATTAGAATGCTTTGGAATTTGTAGCCAGAATAAATGGTTCCTTCTTGCCGTATTAAATATTCAAAAAAACCAACATAAGATGGTGGAAGAAAAGTTTAACAGCAATGTATTTTTAGTATAGTATTAAAAGAACCTAGCTCAAGTTTCATAGATGAAATATGATGATAAGGCTTCCAAACAAAAACCCACACGACAGTTTTCAAGCTTCTGATGAATAGTTTTTAACGATGCCATTTTTGAGAGCACAAAATTCTATCTAAAATGAAGGAACGCCACATTTTCTTCGACCTTTCCTTAAAAATTTACAAAAACCTTGAATTTACACTACATGGTTCATAGCATAGAATAATATCAAAAATATGTTGTTAACCTCTTTTTTTATCATCTTTGGCCATAAAAATGGCATTTCTTCAATATTCAATGTGTTAGTAAGGAATTATCTGATTTGAATGAAACTCTCAGAAGATTCTAAGGATTATAGACTTAGATAAAAATCCTTTGTTTTTTATTTTTGCATGAATACTTTACTATAAGTCGAAAATCTGATAAAATAACATAACTTCATACAAAAATACTTATGAAAACAAATCCTTTCAGACTTAGTCTAATCTCATTGAATCCTACTTATGAGAAACATATTAATTCAGTCGGCGGTTAGCAGTTGGACATGTTCATGACAACGAAAATATAATCATCCGAAGAATAAAAGCTATTCATAGGAAATAAATCTTGCAATAGACATTAATGGTTTTTTTTTTGAAATAACGAATAAAAAGTTTTCCATTCATTTGTTCTTAAGAAAAAAAAAACAAACAACACAGAAATTCTTCTTTATTTTTGTTTGATGTTGTATATTGAAACAGATGATGATGGAAATTTTATTATTCAATATTTGATTTGTCGTTGTTGTTTTATTTTCTTTAATGTATTCATATTAGATTTTAATATATTTAAATAAGCTAATTAAAAACGATTTATTTCTTTATTTGAATAATAGTTGATCATTTTTTTTGAATCATATATTTGCACGCATAAAATAAAATACTGTCAAATATTTTCTATTAATTCATATTTAATATAAACAAAAATTACTTACAAATATTTTTTATTGCTAATTTTTTTTGCAATGACAAAATTTCATTTTCATTCAGCAATAATATTTTTATCATCATCAGTTACTTTTGATTTAACTATTATCCGTTTCAAAATAGAAGAGACCTTAGTGTTTTTTTAATAACTTTTGAACGGAACATGATAGAGAGCTGCGGTTTTGACCATTGGACAGAGAAATGTTGG